CGTCTTGGCCTGCTGCAGGAGCTGGTCTCGGAGGGTGGGGTCGTTGGCGGCCGCCGCCGCGCGCTGCAGCGGAGAGAGGGCGGAGCCCCCCGCATCCTGCTTCGCGCCGTCGTGCGAGCCGCCCTGGATGCCGCTGCGCCCTTCTGCGCCTCCCCCTCGACAAGCACCGATGCCTCCACGCGCGGGGGAGGCGCTGCGCGAGGCCGAGCGCAAGATGCCCCGTGGATGGACCAAGCTGGCCTCCTCATCTTCGAAGGAGACTTGTGTGGTCCGTGAGGTAGCCCAGGGTTTGTGAAGCCTGACTGGACTCCCACACCCTTTGCACAGCTTCTTCCGCATGCTCAGAATATAATTGTACTCGCACTGACGGCATTGAGAACAACGGGACCAGACACGTGCACCTATCGTGATAACTTTACCCCTGCCTTGGTCGATGCCCGGAGGGTCCAGAGAGTGGCCTCCGAGCAAAGTGCCTCAAGCGCCACGGGCAGGCGCAGGGGACGGACGAGAAACTGCCAAAATGGTGTCTCGCGCCCAAATGGCTTGAGAGAAGGAGGAAGAGGAGGTGGAAGACTAAGAGGAAGAGGAGGAGGAGGAGGAGGAGGAGGAGGAGGAGGAGGAGGAGGAGGATGAGGATGCCAGCATGGCAGCGGGGGGCGCCACGCCCGCCCGATCCTCACCCTCCTAATTTCCATTCTCGTCATCCTCGCTCTCCTGGCCCTCCTTCTCTACATCCTCGCCCTCATGCTCCACGCTCGCCTGATCCTCACCCGCGTGACCCTCACTCCCCTGTTCTTACCCCTCGCGAGCCTTGCCCTTCTGATTGTCACGTTCGTTTATATTTTGATCCGCCGAGAAGCGCACGTCCCTTCTTCTATATACAGAAACTCCCGATCAATCACAGAGCGGCCTGCTAGTAAATGTCATCTGCATGGGCACCAAGTAGTCAAGTTCAGTGCGGTAGCTCCCTCCGAACCCATCCCGCGGTAGGGGGTGGGGGGAGCTTTGGGGGGAGGGGGGGGGGACAGGGCTCGTTTCGATTCCTCCGATTCGATTCGGTTCAATTTCGATTGTTTACACCGCACTCACATCTATACCCCTGGGTGGGTGTATGTGCGGCCGTTTTTGCGCTGTCATGTGCGCGCATGTGCGCGGCATGTGCCAGTCATGTGCCAGGCCTGTGCGGTCCTTCTTGGATGGACTTCCTACTGTGCACGTCGTGCCCGGGCATGTGCGGGGGCATGTGCGCTGTGTTTTGATGTATCCATCATACGCACATGCACGCACAGTCCGACGCACATGCGCGCACATGCCTGCACATGCGGGAGGTGTTCGAGAATCGCAGATCTGTCATCGGCACATGCACGCACATGCCTGTGCAACCTCTCTTCGGGAGGCCGCGCGGGCCCGCACATGCACGCACATGCGGTGAAGCGCGCGGGCGCACATGCGTGCACATCCCAATGCACATGCACGCTCATGCCCTAGGAGCTGTCTGGGACCCCTGTGCCTCCAATGCCTCCTGGCCTTCGCAGAGCTAACCTGGGGCGTGCCAGGGTTTCCTGAAAGAGTTTGTTGTGCGTTTAGACTCGCCCGCTGCTGGCGGGGGCGGTTATTCGCCCGGTTCGTGAGCTGGCGGTGGCGCGCCCGCCTAATAAAATACTCTCCCGCGCGCCTTCTCAGCTCGGCTGGAGAAGCAGGGATGGGGGGGGGGGAGGTGGAGGGGGGGGGGAGGGGGGCGGAGGAGGCGGGCGCCCCCGGCCACTGGCCACTCTCGCAACTCTGACCTCAATGATGCCCTGCTCCATAGTGTCTCGGCCTTTTTCGCCTGAGACCCTCGCAACTCTGGGTTCTGAGATGCCCTGAGCAGGTGGTCGGGCCAGTCCTGCCTGAGACATCCTCGCAACTCTGGGCTCCGAGATGCCCTGGGCTGAGGTGGTCAGACCACTCTCCCCAGAGACATCCTCGCAACTCTGACCTCAGAGATCTCCTGCCCCATGGTGGTCAGGCCACTTTCGCTTGAGACATCCTCACAACTCAGACCTCGGAGGTGTCCTGCCCCATGGTCGTCTGGTCACCTTGACCAGCGACATCCTCGCCACTCTGGTTTCCAAGATGCCCTGCCCCATGGTGATCCGGCCACGCTTGCCTGAGACATCCTCGGAACTCTGGGTTGCGAAATGCCCCGAGCTCAGGTGGTCAGGCCACTATCGCCTGCGACATCTCTGCGGCATGTGCGGGCATGTGCGTCTATGCTTTCAGAGTTTTGCTTGACCGTGCATTCGACTGTGCGTCGGACGGTGTGGCATGTGCGCGCATGTGCGGCAATGCTGTTGAGGCTTTTGTATATTTGCATGGGCATGTGCATGCGACTGTGCGGCATGTGCCTGCATGTGCGGCCCCTTCCGGACCACAATTTCAAAGTGAGCACTATAGAAGTGAGCGCTATAGAAGTGAGTCCGGTGTACGATTCCGATTCGGTTCGACCTTGGCTTCCGATTTGGGTTCTGGTTTCTTATTGTAGGCATATTAGCCTGCCGATTCCTGCCGATTCGACTTTTCCCGACTAGGCTGCCGATTTCCGCCGATCTGATTCATGTCGGTCGCCGATCCGACTTATCGAATCGATTTTGGGCTTTCCTGGGGGGAGGGGGCCATGAGGGAATGCCCGCGCGGGAGCGCGAAGTGTTTCCCCAGCCGGAGCTCGTGTTGGAAGGGCCGCGGATGCTGCGAGGATCTGGTGCATGGTGGGCCGCCGATCTCTGCCAGGCGGCCGGGCTCCCAGATTCCCTGTCCCTGGGCTCCTGGTGGTGGAGGGGGAGGAGGAGGAGGAGGAAGAGGAGGAGGAGGATGAGGAGGAGGAGGAGGAGGAGGAGGAGGAGGAGGAGGAGGGGGAGGAGGAGGAGGAGGAGGAGTCTTGCCCACCCAGCTTTCGGGTGTGGCTGAGGTCACCGGTTCCGAGGCTCGCGAGCAAGCACAATATGGACAGATTTAGCTTATGCGCAGGGAACCAGAACACAGAGAGCATTGAGTAAAGGCTTCAGAGCAAGCGTGGATAGGCGAACCTCGAGAGTAGATGGGTGAGGGTCAGAGGGTGGAGTGTATACATCAGATCTAGAAGAAGTGACACTGCAGACAGTTGAGGGCGCAGCAGCCTGTACTGCTCTTGCCCACCACCAGCAATACGCCTCTGCACCTTCCGCGGCCGCCCCCCGCCTCCAGTTTTGGAAGCAGAGGGTGGCCGCGAGGCGATGGCGGAGGAGTGCAAGCGGTGCCTGAGCCTCTCCCTTGGCGTCAGGAGGTACCACGTGCAGCCAGAAGGCCTCTGACTGCCTGGCGACGAGGGGGCCGACGGTGTACGCTCGCGCCGCGCGGCGGCGGACTGGTGGAGCGGCCTCGGCGGTGGACGCCTGCCGTGCGCGGTCGAAAAGGGCCCACTTCCATCTCGCCTCCGCCGCGTTCGTGTCAGAGTAACGAGAGATCATGGTAGTGATACGTTCCAGGATTTCCAATATTTCCAGGATGTCTCACCAGGATCCAACATTTCCAACATTCCAGGATTTCCAGGATTCCGATCGAATTTCCCTAGGATTTTGAATTCATTTGGATTTCCGATATTTCCAGGATTTCCCATCTTTCTAGGATTCCCAATATTTGCAGGATGTTTCCCATACTTCCCGGATGTTCCAATATTGTAGTGGCCTCTGGCCAGTGCCGCCGATCCGGGGCGTTCCCGATGCTGATGGGAATGGATGACTGTGTATGCTGAAGATACAGCTCTCGTTCGAGACATCCTCATAAGATGAACATGTGGAAATCGGTTGCGAAACACCCCCACCGCTCCCGGCAGAGCGCTCAAGTCCACGTCTCCCGAGCACTGAATGGCGTCGGGAATGGCGTGCCCCCCCCCTCCCCCCCCTTGCAGAGCGATCTCCCCCCCGGGCTCCCGAGCACTGAATGGCGTCGGGAATGGCGTTGTGAATGGCGTCCCCCTCCCCCCCCTTCCTTGCAGAGCGAACCCCCCCCTGGCTCCCGAGCACTGAATGGCGTCGGGAATGGCGTCCCCCCCCCCCCCCCCCCCTGGCAGAGCGAACTCCCCCCCCAGCTCTCGACACTGATGCGTCGGGAATGGCGTCCCCCACCCCACCCTTCCACCCCCTTGCAGAGCGATCTCCCCCCCGGGCTCCCCCCCGACGCTCCGAGCATGGCGTCGGGAATGGCGTCCGTTTCAAGAGAAAACCCCAGACCCGGTTTTCACGAGCACTGAAACTGCGTCGGGAATGGTCCCCCCACCTCTCCCCCCCCTTGCAGAGCGAACCCCCCCTCCCCCCGGCTCCCGAGCACTGGAAAATGGCGTCGGGAATGGCGTGTGCGCCCCCCCCTTCAGAGCGGAGCTCCCCCCCTGCTCCGAGCACTGAATGGCGTCGCGAATGCGTCCCCCCCCCTTGCACAGCGACCCCCCCTGCTCCCGGCAGCACTGAATGGCGTCGGGAATTGCTTCCCTTGCAGAGCGAACCCGCCCCCGGCTCCCGATCCACTGAATGGCGTCGGGGGGAAAGGGCAGCCCCCGCCCCCTTGCCGAGCGAAGTTTGAGCGAGCCTCCAGGGTCCACGCTCTCAGAAGCTCACACGCGGGTCGCTCATTTTCCAATCGGTTCCAACTGTTCGGCACGGGCAGCGCAACGAGGGGCCGCGAGGCTCCCAGAGTCCCTGGAGCGCTCCTGACCCCCGCATCACGACACCATTCACGTCCTTTCTTGGCGTTCGTTTTGCCAGCTTTATGTCGGGCAGTCGGGCGTGTTCCCTCTACAGGAGAAAATTTTCCAAGCTAGTTTTCATACTAGTTCTGGGGACGACTTCGTTTTTTTGCACAACACCCCCTGTAGAGGAGATGCCCGACCGAATGCCAGCTGGCACGTGCCCACGAAGCGACACGCGATCAGTAGTGCCAGACCAGACAACCACGGACCGAGCACGTGGTTCCGTACCTCGGCGGTTCCGAGCTTCTCGTCCGTGCGCGGCCACGAATGCCCCCTGCCGCTGCTTCCAGAGGCCCCCCCCCGCTCCCCCACATCTCGTCTCCTTACCCCTCATCCTCCTCGCCCCCCCCTCCTCATCCTCCTTTCTCTCCAGCTCCTCCTCCTGCTCCTTCTCCTTCTCCCCCAGCTCCTCCAGCTCCAGCTCCTCCTCCTCCTCCTCCTCCTCCTCCTCCTCCTCCTCCTCCTCCTCCTCCTCCTCCCCCTCCTCCTGAAGGAATGGGAGGAAATCAAGGACAAGGAGGAAAGAGAGGGAAGAGAGGAACGGGAGGAAAGGGAAGAAGTAAGTAGAGGAATGAGAGGGAGGACAGGAAGTGGAGGAACAGGAGGAGGAGGACGCTCCGTAGCCATTTTGGCTCAAGTCCGTAGCGTCTCGCTCAGAACTTGGCTAGTGGCCTGGGGGGGATTGCGGCCCCCACTGCTTTCCCAGGCGTTCTCCCGCCTGGCACGTTTACAACTACGTTCTGGCTACAGAACAACCACTTTCACTGCTGCACTTCTCTGCTATCGCGATGGTGCCAGCCCTTTTCTCGTATGCTCCGTGGGTCAAGTCGCAGAGTGAGGATGAGGGTTGGTCCACAGCGAAAGGACGCCGCCGCGGCCAGGCTCAAGTTGCCAGTTTCGCCTGCCCGTCCTGTGGCTGCAAGAAGAGCAGCGCCGACGCCACGCATTGCAAGCATTGCGCTCATCCTCTCCCTCGGATGTCTCATGCAGCTGGGCCTCCTGCAGGTGGTCGCTGGGCCGCGGCTGGTCCCCCAGGCTACTGGTACGGGAATGGCCACAGCGTCAAGGGCCACGTTTTCCAGAACTATGGAGGAAAAGGAGGTTCCCGCGGGACTAATGGCAAAGGCAGAGGGAAAGGATGTTTTGGAGGCGACCCGTCTATGTGGGATGTGCTGGCTCGTCAAGACGAATCACGTGCTGATGGCGCTGGAGGAGGCACCCCGCCTCTCCCTGTGGGACCAGTTCCTTACATCACCGCGTCAGAAGCCAGGGCCCTTGGTGAGTCGCTCCAAAAGGCGGGGATGTCGGAGCTGCCACAAAGTACTTCGACATGGCTAAGCATCTTGAGGCAGCAGCTAAGCCCGTTGTTATATCGGACCACGTTTGGATGCAGCAGGCTCACTCCACTGTGCGCAAGCTGGAGAAGCAGATGGAGCAGCAGCTGGGCCGAGTCACTCGCCTTAGGGAACAACTCTTGGAAGCGGAAGTTTCGTTGCGATCCTTTCGCGACCAGGTGGACCAGGCGGACTTGGACTCCAAGCAGTCTCTTGCGGCCTTGCAAGGGCCTTCGCAGCAGTCTGAGATGCGGACTCAGCCGGTGTCTTTCAAGCTCGAGGAGTTGGTGGCTGGCACGGTGGACTTCTCCAAGCTCATCGACTGCAGCCACATGCTGGAGGATCTCACGACTGACAACGACGTGGATGCGTCGGGCCTTGAGCAGTTCCAGAAGAGGAAGGAGGACTTGTCGTCAGGGGTCACGAAGCTGACCAGAGACCTCTTCGCCCAGGTTGCGTCGCATGCCAAGGCACTTCGAGAACAACACGAAGCTCATCGGCTTCGAGTGGTGGCGAAGAAGCGGAAGACTACCGAAGGTGAAGTTGTCGGAGGATCTCCTGCGGTCGCTGCGGCTGTGGCTGGAGGAGGAGCAGGGGCGCTTTCTGAAGGTGCCCAAGCATTGCGCCCACGGCGGCGTCGGCCGAGGCTGTCCAGGCTTCGGCTGCGCCGCAAGAGGACATTCGAGCCAAGGTCGACCAGGCTTTCAAGGGCTCTGAGCCCCCTGCTGCGTCTTAGAGGTGGCGGGGGGCAGGAATCTGAGGGCGGGGGCCCAGGTTTGAAACCCTCCTGGGATCTTTTTTAATTTTTTAGCTTCGAGAGTGTCTGTGATAGGCTCCAGGTCTCAGGCCTCGGGGATTCGACTCTCCAAGCGTTTGCGGCAGGTTTTTGGGATTCGAGCCATCGGGGGCTCGTTTGACGCCCCGCTCGCCTGTGCTGAAATTCGGGTGCCCTTAGATTTCCCAGGAGCCTCTCGCATCTCCTCTCTTCCTCTGCCTGGTGCGGTCGGGAAGCAGTACTGCGTGAAGGCTGGTGGAACTCAACTTGAAGATCCTCCAGCCGCGCGGTTGCCGCGATCCGGTGCCCTTTTTCCTGGTGCTAGCTCCGCCAGGGCCTGGTCCTGTATGAGTTCTGTTGCTGTCGGCGACGGTCTTCCAGTGGCCTCAGCCTCCGCGCCAGCTGCCCAGGGTGCTGCCGACGGCTGCATCGGGCTTGATGAGGGTCTTCTTGTGACCACGGTGAACGCCAACACTTGGGGCACTCTCAAGAACTACCTATCGTCGGCCAGCTCCCATGTGGTTATTGCTCAGGAACATCGGCTCATTGCTCCTGGTGCTCTGGACCAAGCCTCGAAGTCGTCTAAGTTCCTGGGATGGAAAACCCTGTGGACTCCTGGTCTGCGTGGAGAGGGAGGCGGAGTTTCTTCGGGAGTTTGTGTTTGCGTTCGAGATGGTCTTGGCCTTTTTGAAGCTGCTGGGCATTCTGGTCTCGTTCCTGGCCGAGCGGTTGCCACCGTGGTACACGTTCCAGGGTGCGCTCCCTTTTGTGTCTGCAGCCTCTACCTGGTCCACAGTGAGGGTTTCTCGGAGTCGGATCGAGAAACTTTAAGGATTGTGGGGGAGTTTTTAGACTCTGTGGGGTGTGAGTTCATTGTGGGAGCGGATTGGAACATGGGTCCCGAAGTTCTTGAAGCTTCTGATTTTGGCAAAAAGCTTAGGGCTTGTTTTATCGTGCCTGAAGGGCGCGCCCACTTTCCCAGCAGGGGCCCGCCTGACCGTTTTGATTATTTTGTCGTGTCTGAGGCTCTCAGCCTCTGCCTGAAGAGTTTTTTGTTGAGGGGGACTCCAGCATCTCTCCTCGTCGTCCTGTGTCGCTCCGTTCTCACAGCTCCCTGGGCGATCTTAAGGCTCTTGCCTTCCGCCAACCCCCTTCGCTGCTTGTGCTTCCTCCTGTTGGCCCCGCGCCCAAGTCGGGTGACTGGAGCGCTGCTCTGGACCTGGCCGAAGAAGCTTTTAGGGCGGACCTCAGGTCTACTGGAAATCGGTTCTCCGTCCTGCGGGGCGCGAAAAAGATCCAGGGTTACGTTTATTTCTTGGCTATGTAATCAGTTGCGTGCAGTTGGGTGTTATTTCTCCGAATCGGTCTTGCAGGAGGCTGGACGACAGGTGCTCGACTCGATCCTCCAGCCTCCGTCGGCCGTGGCGGTGCAGGAGAGCTCTGAGTTCTACCCTTTCTTCAAGGCCAGTGCGGCCTTAGCTAGATGCGCCTTATCTCCTGTTCTGGATCCTGAGCTCGGCTCTGATTTGGACGACCTGATCGATCAGGTTGCTCTCGCTGTCTCATCTGCTAAGGCCACCTCTGCGACTGCGTCGCGGAGAGAGTGGCGCGAGTGGGTGCGGACTGGCATTGATGCTGGCGGTCGCAATGCTCAGAAGGCCATTAAAGACCCTGGGCCCTGGAAGCCCTCTACCACCTTAGCCAGATGTGGAACTGTCGTTTGCGACCCAGTGTCTTTGCTCCAGGCTGAGGGCGATAAGTTTGCCGCCATCTGGGGCTCCGGCAAGGGCGAAGGTGTGGGCCATGACCTTCTGCCCCATGGTCGCATTTTAGAGCCTGCCGAGCTGCGCGTGATTTCCAAGAAAGATCGGACCTCTTCGGCTGTGAGCGTTGACGGTTTCCACTGTCGACATTTCAGCTTTCTCCCCAACGAGGCTTTGCGTGCCCTGGCCCTTTGGTTTGCCGTGTGGGAAGCCACTGGCGATTTGCCCAGGCAGCTCTCTTGGGTTCTCATGGCCTTGCTGGCCAAGCCGACGGGTGGGTTTAGGCCCACTGGGGTTTTCCCGAGCCTTTACCGCCTTTGGGGTCGCGCCCGTCGTCATGAGGCTCTGCAATGGTAGCTCACCCATCCCAGACGGTACTGGGCTGCGAGAGCCAACAGGGGGGCGGGTGACGTTGTTTGGAGGCAGGCCTTCAGGGCCGAAGCGGGTTCGCGTAAGAAAGAGGTTTCGGCCTCCATCTTCTGGGACCTCAGAAAGTATTATGAGCACATCGATTTGAATTATCTTTGGCAGCAGTGCGTGCAGCAGTCTTTTCCGTTGCCGCTGGCGAGACTGGCCATCAGGGCGTATTCGAGTGTTCGCTTCCTGGCCCTGGGAGGCATCATTCAGGGACCGTTTTTCGTCTCCAAGGGTTTGGTGGCTGGTTGCTCTTTTGCGACCAGCCTCATCCGCGTTTTTGCCATGAAGGCCTTTGATGAGGCCCTTGTTGCGATCCCCAGGGGCCCGGGAGGAACGACTGATTTCGACGCCTACGTCGACGACCTTAGTCTCAGCTGCACTGGTCCTGCTAAGGTTGTTGTTGCCAGCCTCACTGCTGGAGCCAAGGCGCTTCACCGAGCCATCGCGGCGACGCTCGAGTGCAAGCTGGCCATGGACAAAGTGGGTATGGTCAGTAACTCTCCTGATGTTTCCAAAAAGCTTTCGGATGTCCTGGGGCCTCTTGTGGGGCCGGCCTGCTCTCGGGTGACCAATTTAGGTTCGGATTTCACTGCGGGCAGACCTGTCCGTTCTAGAGGCCGCTCGGCCAAGTTAAAAAGCGAGAGCTGCGGCTGCGCTGAGGAAGACCAGGAAACTTCAGGGCCTCCAGGAGGCCGTTGGTCGCAAATGTCTGAAGGTTTTTTTGCGTCGGGCCCTTTGGCTGGAGCTGTGTGCGGCTCTGATTTGTTTGGTGTTTCGGACAGGGAACTGCTTAGTCTTAGAAGGATGGCCATGTCGACGGTCAAACCCAGAGCCCAGCGACGCCCCCTCAGCGTCTTGTGTCTTCTCTCGGATGACCCCACGTGGAGGGGCAGTTGTGCGCCTGTCATTCGCTGGGCCAACGAGGTTTGGACCCTGCGTACTCATGGTTTTCCGTGGACCTTAAGTTGGGCTGAACTCAGGGATGGCTGGAGAGCCGTCTTTGCGTCTGATGACCACTCTTGGTCTAGAGTGGCTGGGCCCATCTCCGCTCTGCGCATGACCTTGTTCAGGCTGGGTTGGACCATGCCTAATTTTTGCACCTTCATTGATGATTTTGGCAGCGAAATCTCTTTCACCTTGTAGTCTCCCAAGCTCATCAAGCTCTATTGTAAGGAAGCCCATCTGAGGGGTCTTGAAAGAGATTCTGGGGACAAGTACGGTTGTGGTTTCAGGCTCTGCTGGGATGTTGTCAAGCAGCTTTTGTCTTCCAGGAAGGTTTCTAGGATTACCAAAGGTTGGATCCGTGCTCAGGCCACTAGAGCCTGCTGGACGGCAGGTGATGTGGCTGCAGCGGGGTACGATTTTTCCGACAAGTGTGCGTTGTGCGGCAAGGGCCGCGACACTCTCTTCCACAGGCTCTTCGTGTGCCCGTGCGCGCAGTCTGTGAGGGATGAGGTGCTGGACAAAAGTATGCAGAATGAAGCGTTGGAGCTAGGTGCAGATCACGTTGACATGTGCCTGTATGTGTACGGGGCCTTCAAACATCCTGGAGATTATGCTCCACCGCCGCTCACCGACGGGGGCACCAGTCTGGAATGGTTCGTCGAGGCGCTTCCTGACCCATCTGACTCTGCTGCTGCTCCTTCTATTCCTCCCTCCATAGGGCTCTGGGGGCACCTCTTTATGGACGGCTCGTGCCGTCGTCATGTAGTGCGTGAGCTCTCCAGGGCTGGCTGGGCTGTTGTCATGGTTTCGAGTTCGGGCGAGCGCCTCGGGGTTTTGAAAGGTCCTTTGTGGGCTCCGTGGCCTCAGACCCCCCAGGGATCGGAGTTTGGGGCCCTAGCCTGGACCGCTGTTCAAACCGAGGGCCCCGCTAAGTGCTATTCTGACTGTGCTAACGTTGTGTACTTTATGAAACTTGGTGCTGCTGACGGTATTAGCGCCAAGCGGCAGTATGCTGGCCAAATCATTCAGGCCAGGCATTACTGTGGCCCCAACCTTATTTCGTTGACTAAGGTGGAGGCCCACAAAGATGTCGACGAGGAAGGACTCTCTGCGCGCGAGAGATTCTTGCGTAGAGGGAACTTCTACGCAGACGTCTATGCCAAGGAGGGTGCTAGGCAGCACCCTGAGATGTCTCCTGCAGAGCAGGAGGCCCTCGACCATCAGATCGAGGTTTCGAGGGCGATCTTGCTGGCGGGAGCTGAGCTCTTGCCACTTTGGCCGGAGCTGGAGTTTCAAGGTCTGCCGCGTTTGTCACCGCAGCCTGGCCCAGGTGCTCCAGTTTTAGAGCTTGTCCACGACTGGTCCCAACAAGGTTCCTCCTGGCGGTGTCGTGTGTGTCTTCGGGGTTCCCGCTCGAACTCCAAGCCGCTGGGGGGATCGTGCCCTGGGCATTCCCGTTTGGACCAGGGACTGTTGGAGAGACTGGGCCACCGAGTCATTGCCTTCCCTTGCAGTGACAGTGGCCACCTGTTCTTGTGCATGACGTGCAAGTTTTATTCTAGCGGTGAAAAAGGTCCTGGGTTTGTCCCGTAAGTGCGGGCCCCCGACGGAGACTGGTTTCAGAAATTTGAGACGGCTCCGTAAAGGACTGCGCCCTGATAAGAAGGGTGTCTCCGTCGACATCGACGAATTCATCCCGCTATTATGAATTACAGGTAATCTAATTTGCTCCCAGTGCGCCTCTGGCTGACGGAGCAAGAACTCATCACCTTCAAGGGCACGAATGTTGCGTCCAAAAAAAAGAGGAAGGAGGAGGAGGAGGAGGAGGAGAGAGGAGGAGGAGGAGGAGGAGGAGGAGGAGGAGGAGGGGGAGGGGGATGGGGGAGAGGGGGGGAGGGGGAGGGGCCGAGGGGAGAGGGGAGGGGGAGGAGGAGGAGGAGGAGGAGGAGGAGGAGGAGGAGGAGGAGGAGGAGGAGGAGGAGGAGGAGGAGGAGGGGGAGGAGGAGGAAGAGGAATAATAAGTAGAAGAAGAAAATAATAATAATACTACTACTACTAATAATACTAATGATAATAGTACTAATACTAATAATACAACGAATAATGATAATAAGACGAATAATGACAATACTAATAATAATGCTAATACTAAGAAGAAGACTAATAATAATAAACATAGTAAGAATAATAATATTAATAATGATAATAATGATAATAAGAAATTAATAATAATAAGACGGCTAAGCAGACACATACGCATACTCAGCATAATAAGACGAATACTACTACTAATAATGATACTACTAAGAACAATAATAATGCTAATACTAGTAGTAATAATAATATTAAGAAGAAGAATACTAATACTAAGACGACGAATAATACTACTATTAAGAATCATAAGAATAATACTATTAATAATACTATGAAGAATCAGACCACGACGACTAATAATAATAATAATAGTCGTAGTAATAATACTAATAATGAGGCTGGTAATAATAATAATAGTCATAATAATAGTATTAATAATAATCATGATAATAATAATAATAAAATTATTATTATTATTATTATTATTATTATTAATAATAATAATAATAATAATAATAATAATGAAAAATAACACTAATAATAATAATAATAGTCGTAGTAATAATACTAATAATGAGGCTGGTAATAATAATAATAGTCATAATAATAGTATTAATAATAATCATGATAATAATAATAATAAAATTATTATTATTATTATTATTATTATTATTAATAATAATAATAATAATAATAATAATAATGAAAAATAACACGAATATGGATAAGAAGAAGAGGGGGAAGAGGAGGAGGAGGAGGAGGAGGAGGAGGAGGAGGAGGACAGGACGGTAATGAGGAGGAGGAGGAGGAGAAGGAGGAGGAGGAGAAGGAGGAGGATCAGCAGGAGGAGGTTGGAGGAGTATGAGGGAGGAGGAGGAAGGATGAGGAGGGAGGAGGAGGGAAGAGGAGGAAGAAGGAGGAAGAGGAAGGAGGAGGATGGAGGAGGAAGGAGGAGGGATGAGGAGGAAGGAGGAGGAGGAGGCAGGAGGAGGAGGAAGGAGGTGGAGGAAGGAGGAGGAGGAGGAACGAGGAGCAAGGAGGAGGAGAAAGGAGGACCGTGGAAGGAGGAGGAAGGAGGAGGAGGAGGAGTCCTGCTCCCCCCTCCCCTCTCCCTCCGGTTGCCATGGTACGCCGTGGGCGCTGCGCCCCGCCGCGGCGGGCGGCGCTGCTCGGCGGCCTGCTGCCGCTTCTTGCGCTGGGCGACGAGCGCCGCGGGTCGCCGCCGCTGAAGGGGCACAGAGCCGGACGACGCCGGCCGCGCGCCCATCGCGGCTCCCCAGACCCCCTCGGGCAATGAACAAATCCTGACGGGAGGTTTTTCCATGCTCTCGGCCATTGGAGGCCCTGACCGGGCCTCGGGCCCGTCAAGAGCCGTCTCAGGCCGAAGAACCGGTCCAGGGGAAAGGGTCGAGACCTCTGAGGGCGGATGCTGAAGGGGCACAGAGCCGGACGACGCCCACCGTGCGCCCATCGGTGCTCCAGAGACTCCATGGGGGAACGACGAAAACATAACCGCGCAGATTTCTCGGATCGGGGGCGTCACCGGAGGCGCCGCCAGGGGCGCTGGTGCCGCCAGGGGGGTCCAGCGCGGATCCGAGAATTCCGCGCGGACCTCAGAGTTTTTATGCTTATGTCATTCTTCTTTCCCTTACTCTAGGCCTCCTAGATGGGGTCGGAGTGGATGGGGTCGGAGGATCGCGCCGCATCGCCGATGCATCGGCGATGCATCGGCGATGCGGCTCGATGTGGGGTCCAGTTTTCTCCACGCCGACGTTGCGGCTGTGCCGCCGACGTCGCCAGTGCATGGCCGATACATCGCCGATGCATCGGCGGTGCATCACCGATGTATCGGCGATGCGACGAGATCCACCGACCCCATATATTCGGACCCCATCTAGGAGGCCTCTAGAGACGGGGCCGAGGTATGAGATCGAGGTCGGTTCGGGGAGGGTGCCCTAGTGTTCTTCGTGCTGCTAGGATGCTCTTGTGCATCATGGGGGGGGGGGAGCCCTTGGATGCTCTGTGTGTTTTTGCCGGTGGAGGGTCTCATGGTCTTGAAGCATGTTCTTCCGTCCTAGGTTTAAACTGGGCCTGTCCCTCTACAGGGAGAATATTCAAAAATTTTCAACAAATATTTCGGGGACATTTTTTTTTATTATTATCCTGTGAGTTTTTTTTTGGGTATTTTTAATTTGTCGCCCAAAATCCCCCTGTAGGGAGACAGGCCCGACCTAATCCTAGGTCGGGCCGTATCCCGACGATCTATCGCGGTCCGATGTTCGCACGGCGCTGCCGTGCCTCTTGGCGCAGCCGAGGCGATCCGATTTCCTCGCCGCGCCGATGCAGCACTATCCTCGGAGGTGGATCGACCTCCTACCCTGACACGTCGATTAAGGAACTGGCCGTTTTCGGTTCGCGAGAGGGCGTCGCGGCCGTTACTTGTGAGGGTCCAGGTCCGTCGGTTTTGGTCCCAGGCCGTTTTCACTAAGGGGAGGTTTACTAAACGGAGGTTTGTCCACCGCCGATATCCGACGCACATCTTGGTTCGATCCGATATCCCGATTCGATGCTGATTGATCCTGCCTCCCTCTCGGTCAGCCACGCGCAGAGGGGGTATGGGGGAGTGGGGAAGGCTTCTCAGAAACACCCTGCTTCTTAGAGCCTGGATCAGATCCCTGTCCCATGTTTGGTTTCACCTTCCCTCGGTGCCGCCCTTGAGGATTCCCTCGGCTTCTGCCGATCTTAAGATTGCCATCGCCTTTTAGCTTGCCGATCTTGGAGATATGCAAACAGGGGTCAGCCAGAGCGCCGGATCTGGCAGGATCCTGTAGAGCCAGGGCTGCATTGACCCGGACTTGGGTGCAGGATCCTGCAGGATCCAGCCAGATCTTTTGGCGGCGCGCAGAGGGGGGTATGGGGGAGGGGGGGAGGCTTCTGAAGCAAGCTTCTGACCCCTGCTTCTGATCTGAGAAGGCACGCCCCTTGTGTGTAGATGAAAGGCCCGCGCCTTCTAAGAAGCAGCCTACTTCTAAGAAAGCCTTCCCCCCTCCCCCACCCCCCCTCTGCGCCCCGCCAAATCTTGCAGGGTCCTGCAAAGCCTGGCGGGCCTGGGTCCGGATTGGCCCGGGCCAGAAGATCCCCTTGCCCAGGCGTGCGGCGTCGTTCGCCAAGGAGGAGGCCCAGACATTGGCGTTTTTCTCCTCGGGGCTCGAGGCTCGAGGGCTCCAAGGCTCTGGGATTTTTTCCGCCTAGTCTGGGCCTCCGGGGGAGGAGGAGGAGGAGGAGGAGGAGGAGGAGGAGGAGGAGGAGGAGGAGGAGGAGGAGAAGGAGGAGGAGGAGGAGGAGAAGCAGAAGCAGAACCAGGAGGAGGAGGAGGAGGAGGAGGAGGAGGAGGAGCTTCTCGTCGCCACGGCTGGACCCGCCACGGACTTTGACCAGAGCGCACCCCAGAACAGGTCTGGGGGTGGGCTTTTGGCCGCTGGGCTTCTGATGTTCCAACCTACTTTAGCCTTGATCACCAGGAAGAATTTCGAGCACCCAAAAAGTGCTGGAGCTGGAGGGTTTTCACGTGTCGGGCCCTGGGAGGCGATACTCGTCCGACATTGTTTCGATGGTTTCTGGGCGCTCGAAAGTATTTAATGGGATGTGGTCCTTAAGTACGATGGGAGCAACACAATAACCCTGGGCTCTGACATGCTCGCGCCGTGAACAAAATCAGGGCGGAAGGTCTTCATCGTTTTCGGCCTCGTGGGTGCCCTCGCCTGTCCCTGGTACCGTCAAGAACGACTCGGGATGGAAAACTGGCCCGGCTTGAATCACCACCTCCCTTCCAAGTCGGTTCGGGTGGATTGATTTGTCTGGGAAAATAATAAGCGAAAGTAGGCTGCAAAGTGTTCAGAACGCTGGTTTGGTCCATATTATCGTGATCAAACGTTGGACAACCGCTTCGTCTCGTCAAGTATTCGTTGGTTGAATATGCATTGCTTCACATACGATTCTACGATTCTGGGGATCCTGTTTAGGATGTTTCCATCAAGGGGATTTCGGTGCACCCGAATTCAACATACGATGCGTTTTGGGGTGCTTCCCGGTGCCACTCTATGTAACGCCTCCCCCCGGTCTTCCCTCTCGTCGTCCTCGCCCTCGTCATCATCGAGGCTTCCCTCCCTCTCCGTCTCCTGCCCCTCCTCTCCCTCTGGGGGTGGTCGGTGTCAGGCGGCAGCCGTGTATGTATGTATGTATGTATGTATGTATGTATGTATGTATGCATGTATGCATGCATGCATTCATGCATGCATGTATGCATGTGTGTGTGTGTCTGTCTGTCTGTCTGTTTGTTTGTCTGTCTGTCTTTTGTCTGTCTGTCTGTCTGTATGCATGCATGTATGTATGTATGTGTGTGTAGGTAGTCATGTATGTATATATGCATACATGCATGCATTTATACATATATATATATATGTATGTATGTGTGTATGTATGCATGCATGTCTGTATGTATGTATGTAAGTATGTATATCTATGTACGTATGTATGTATGTATGTCTATATGTATGTGTGCATGTATATCTGTATGCATGTATAGATATACGTATGCATGTATGCTACATGTATGCATGCATGTATGTATGTATGTATGTATGTATGTATGTATGTATGCACGTACGTAGGTATGTATGTATGTACGTATGTATGTATGCATGTATACATGTATGTATGTATGTGTGTATGTATGTAAATTTCATATACGTAGGTATCCATGTATGTATATACGCATGTATGTATGTATGTATGTATGCATGTATGTGTGTAGGGATGACTGCATGTACGTATGTAGATATGTATGTATGTGTGCATGCATGTATGTATGTATGTATGTATGTATGTGTATATAGGTATGTATGTTTGTATGTATGGTATTGTAATGTAATGTTATGTAATATGATGTAATGTGCTGTAATGTAATGTAATGCGCTGTAATGTAGTGTAATGTAATGTAATGTCATGCCATGCCATGTAAGGTAATATAATGTAATGTGATGTAATGTAATGTAATGGAATGTATGTATGCATGCATGCGTGCATGTGTGTATGTATGTATGCATGTATGTATGGCTGCAGGTATGTATGTATGTATGCATGCATGCATGCATGCATGTATGTATGTATGTATGTATGTGTGTGTATGTATGTATGTATGTATGTATGTATGTATGTATGTATGTATGTATGTGTGTATGTGTATATATATGTATGTCTGTCTGTCTGTCTGTCTGTCTGTCTGTCTGTCTGTCTATATGAGTGACTGAATGAATGTATGTATGTTTGTATGTATGTATGCATGTAAGTATGTATGTATGTATGTGTGTGTGTATGTATGCATGTATGTATGTATGTATGTATGTATGTATGTAGGTAGGTAGGTAGGTAGGTAGGTAGGTAGGTAGGTAGGTATGTATGTATGTATGTATGTAGGTATTTATGCCTGTGTGTATATATATATATTTATATCGACATAGTATACATCATGGGGGACCAGGTGGGGGAACCCTGGGGCTGGCCCCCCGACAGCAAGGGCGAGGGACTGGGCCCCGGGGCGGCTTTCCGAACGCCCGAGTCGCTCCACGACGGGCGAGGAGGGCCCCCGAGCTCCGAGCTCCGAACGATCCCTCCAAGACGGCCCCCGAGCTCCGAACGGCCCAAGACGGCCCCCGAGCTCCGAACGGTCCCTCCAAGACGGGGAGCCCGGAGACGCCCGGCCCAGCCGCTGGCCCTGCTCTCGCCTGCCGTTTGGGGTGCCGTGCTGGGGCACCTCTGTTGGCCCAGGGGAGCTCCGCGGGCCCAGTGCTCTCCAAGAGAGGCAGCGCAGGACGAAGAGCTGGCCCCTCCTCCCTCCTCCTCCTCCCTCCTCCCTCCCCCTCCCTCCCTCCTCCCTCCTCCCTCCCCCCTCCCCCCTCCTCCCTCCTGCCTCCTCCCTCCTCCCTCCCTCCTCCCTCCCTCCTCCCTCCCCCTCCCTCCCTCCCTCCCTCCCTCCTCCCTCCTCCCTCCTCGCTCCTCCCTCCTCCCTCCTCCCTCCTCCCTCCTCCCTCCTCCCCCCGGCCTCCCTCTGGGCCCGCCCGCCTCCTGCCGGGGGTGTGGCTCCTGCCCGCCGGGCTCGCCTGCCTCCTCGGCTCCCTCGGCCCCCGGGGGCCGTCGGAGAGGGGTCCGGGGCGAGAGGCGTGCCTCGAAGAAGAGCAAACGCCAGAAACATACACGTTTGGCGCTCCGCGCGGCCCCCCCCCCCTCGGCGGCGCCTCTGGCGCCGCCCCTGGCGCGCTCCGCGCGCCAGGGAGGGGGTCCAGGCCAGGTCCAAGACACCCGCGCGGAGCGCCGACAGTTTATGCTCGTGGCGTGCTTTCTTCTTCTCCTCGCGTCCCGGGGAGGCTCTCGAGGCTTCTGGGGCCCGCGGGCTGGACCAAGGCACCTCCTCGCGCGCCTCGGTGCCGGTCCCGCCCGACTGCGCGCTCCCGCGCGCGCCGGCACGCGCGGCAGCGGGCGCGCCGCTTTGGCCTGGCACGCGGCTGGCGTCGTCCGTGCGGCGCGGTTTGGCGCGAGAGGCTCGATGAGACTGCGTGGATTGCCGTGGTCCGTCGGGCACGCCAACCGACCCTGAGATCCGACGCAGCGAACACACTGCAGCATCGAGCTCCTGCTGCATGTGTGCGTCGCCCCTCCTGGGGCGACGCGCGCGCCGCGACATCTTGAAGCATAAGCTCCTTGGCGGGCTCTTTCTGGCAATATTAGATGTTGGGGTCGGACACGCGCCTCCAAGGAGGACATCTAGTACCAGGACGGCCTTTTGCGTCCCAACCCAGCAGGGCTCACTTCGACTCCTCGGGCTCGATCCGATCCGATTCGATCGTGGTCAATTCCGATGCGATTCGGCTTCGGATTCCGATTGGGGCTTCGGTTTCTCGGTGGAGGCCTTGTTGGCCTGCCGGTTTCCGCCGATTCGGCTCCCCGACTTGGCTGCCGATTTTGGCTGCTTCGATTCGTTCTTGATCGCCGATCCGACCCATCGATGCGATCCTGGGAACTCCTGCAGGGAACCCGCATGGGCCTCCGAGCGTTTCGAGCCCTGCAGCTGTCTGTGCCTTGTGCATCGGGGGGGGTGGAGTCCAGGTGGCTATCAGGCGGCCTGGGTGCCGACCAGCCCCCCGATCTCGTCCTCCTGCTCTCTCTGCCGAGGGCCTCTTTTTTTGAGTCGGCTCCTGGACCCCCTGGCATTGTCCAAGTTCGACCATCGATCGATCCGATCCGATATCGAAATCATGGCCGGCCCGATCCGATTCGATTCCGATAGTCCGACGATCCGATGGTGATAGTTTTTCTATTCACTGTTTCGCCGATCGGCGCGGGGGTCTCGCACACCCCCTCCCCCCCTCCTTGTGG